TTCCAAGAATTGAATACTTTGTCATCAAAGTACTTTAGAAAATTGCAAATATTACAGAAAGCTGGGGAAAACCCCACACAGTAAGACTGAAAGAGAACACACCCATCCGTTTAAAGGGATGGCCTGTTTTCTATTATGTTCTATATATAGAGTAGTGTGGTATATATACAGTATAGCGTTCTGCATTGTTTTCTATTCCTTTCAATGGGGTTTTTCCTCTCTTACGTTCCAGTACCATGACCATTCCACCCTGTAAAATTGGAAACCATTCATGTGTAGTCAGGAGTAGAGTAGAGTAGAGTAGAGTAGAGTAGAGTAGAGTAGAGTAGAGTAGAGTAGAGTAGAGTAGAACCTTGGAAGTTTTCTAGTCCAGCCCTCTGCTCAAGCAGGAGAACCTATACCATCTCAGATAAGTGACTGTCCAGTCTCTTCTTAAAAATCTCCAGTGATGGAGTGCCCACAATTTCTGAAGGCAAGCTGTTCCATTGGTTAATTGTCCTCACTGTTAGGAAGTTTTTCCTTAATTCCAGGCTGCTTCTCTCTTTGATCAGTTTCCCACCATTTTTTCTTGTCTTGCTCTCTGGTACTTTGGAGAATAGTTTGACCACCTCTTCTTTGTGGCAGCCCCTCAAATATTGGAATACTACTATCACGTCACCCCTATTTCTTCTTTTCTTTAGACTAGCCAAACCCAAGCCGTTCTTCTTATGTTTTAGTCTCCAGGCCTTTAATCATTTTAGTTGCTCTTCTCTGAACTTTTTCCAAAGTCTCAACATCTTTTTTGTAGTATGGTGACCAAAATTGGTTGCAATATTCCAGGTGTGGTCTTACTAGGGTTTTATAAAGCGGTACTAATACCTCGCGTGATCTTGATTCTATGCCTCTGTTTATACAACCCAGGATTGTATTAGCTTTTTTGGCTGCTGCTGCACACTGCTGGCTCATAGTCAAGCGATCGTCCAGTAGGACTCCAAGGTCCCTCTCACAGTTACTGTTTTTGAGCCAGGTCTCACCTAATCTGTACTTAAACCTTTGATTTTTCTTACCTAAATGTAAATTTTTGCTTTTCTCCACACTGAAACTCATTTTGTTGGATAGGGCCCATTGCTCAAGTTTGTTAGGATCTTTTTGGATCCTGAGCTTGATCTTCTGGGGTGTTGGCTATTCCTGTTACAGTTTGGTGTGTCTGCATATTTGATGAGTTCCCCTTCAATTCCCCCATCTAAAGCAGATGAAGTCATCTGCCCAGTAGTCTTACTGGGCCTAAGACAGAGCCTATGGTATATTGGAAGGAACAGCTTCTCCTACCGCCACTTGAGGTTAGAAGAAGATACAAATACCTTTAATGATTTTGATCATTGGGACTGAGTTTCAGGGAGGTAGATTTAGGACTGACACATTAACCTCCTTTTTTAAAAGTGTCTTTCACTTTTCTGTTTACAAAGCAGTTTGTCCCAAGCATGTCTGCAAAATGTCCAGACACGGTTTTGTGCCATTGTGTTTGAAGCTCTCAAGTGTTGAGTCCGTGGCGGGAAAACAGACACGAGAAGCAGCTGGAGTTCTCAGTTTCATTTATTCAGCGTTCAGCTTACAGGAAGATGGCTTCAGCCTCGCCCAAACGCCTCGCAGCCTCTTATATAGGCAACTCCCGGGTAAATGGGTTACTTTTCCCGCGCCAGCACCCAAAACTTATGTTGCTAAGTGAGAAATTTGTTAAGTGACTTTTACCCCATTTTATGACTTTTCTTGCCACATTTGTTAACTGAATCACTGCCGTTCTTAAATTAGTAACATGGTTGTCGTTAAGAGAATCTGGTTTCCCCACTAACTGCTTGCAAAAGGGTATCACATGACCTGGGACACTGCTTGCAAAAGGGTATCACATGACCTGGGACACTGCAACCATCTTAAATGTCAGTCAGTTGTCAAGCACCTGAATATAAATCACATGATGCGGCAATGGTCATCTGTATGAAAAAGGGTCACTTTTTTCAGTGCCATTGTAATTTCAAACAGTCACTAAATCAGGGGTTCTCAATCTTGGCAACTTTAAGACTTGTGGACTTCAACTCCCAGAATTCCTCAGCCAGCTTTGCTGGCTGAGGAATTCTGGGAGTTGAAGTCCACAAGTCTTAAAGTTGCCAAGGTTGAGAACCCGTGAACTAAATGAACTGTTAGTCATGGACCACTAAAGTAAAGCCAGGTCTGAGTTTTCACGCCAGTTCCCTAGTGAAATCCCCCAGTTTCCTACGCCTGCCCCCCCATTGGTCCCCGTGTGTCCAATCATATTCAAACCAGATGTTTTCATAACAGCAGTCCTTGGAATGCAGCGGCATTCTTCTCTCTGGCCAAGTGTCCTTCAGATGTTGTTTCTGGCTGGCACAAACTACAGGTAGTCCTTGACGTACGACCACAATTGAGCCCAAAATTTCTGTTTCTAAGTGAGACATTAGTTAAGTGAGTTTTGCCCTATTTTTGCGACCTTTCTTGCCACAGTTATTAAATGAATCATTACAGTTATTAAATTAGTAATATCATTGTTAAGTGAATCCATCTTCCCCCTTGATTTTGCTTGTCAGAAAGTTGCAAAAGGGGATCACATGATTCCGGGCATTGCAACCGTCCTATTTAAATAGTTAAATGCTTAAATATGAGTCCTTTGCCAAGCATCCAAATTTTGATCATGTGACCATGGAGATGCTGGAATGGTCATAAGGGTGAAAATGGTCATAAGTCACTTTTTTCAGTGCCAATGTAACTTCAAATGGTCACTAAATGAACCGTTATAAGTTGAGGACTACCTGTACTTTGGAGTTCTCCCACTCCCAAATGGCTTCCCTCCCACCCCAAGTCTATGGCAGGCTGGCACTGAAGCAAGGCGAAAGTCACGGGAGCGAGATGTGCAGAATTAATTCCTCTGCAACCAAACTAAATTAATTCATCTGCAACCAAACAAATGATGTCTCTGTGCAATAGAAATACTTTGACTTTGAATTGTATCCAAAGATGACTGATTGAGTGATTGATTGATTGAAAGTCACACTGGGCAACAAATCTACTTATACTACTGCTTATGTTTGTCCCAAGTAAAATATGTAAATTAAAAATATAAATCACTTAGTTGGTGGATTATTAGTCCTGTGCTACTTGCAGGATAGTCTAGGCTGATGAAATCACTTTATTAAGATTTTAGAGAAGTCTAGTTGTTTCCCATTATTATATTGTTTCCTGACTAACAAGAGACAGCAAAAAAGTTTCACGGGGGTTAAGATTGCTATGATATAAGATGGTGACAGAGCCAGGCATTTCTCATTAGGAGAACTTCTTGTTTGGCCATTATGCCTTCTGTGTCTTTGTTAGAAGATGGAAATGTCATGCTCTCTTCTGTGGGAGCTGGCAAGGTCTATTGGGTCATATTCAAAGTCTTATTTGAATTCTTTAATCAAAAGACTTTTGCAGAATTAATGAAGTGAAGACTTTGCAGAAGTATCTTGGAATGTATATAATATAATGGCCCTAAGAAATGGTTCTATCATTAAAGTTTAGACAATGTCATAAAGGAAGTAAAATCACTGTTGAGTTGCATTACACTCCTATGAGTTAAATGGAGACATCCATATTTTTGTTGGTAATGATTTGGAAGTAATTTATATTTATATTTCCTTGATTTTTTTAAAAAAACTTACTAGTCTAGCTTATAACTCAGACATGTCAATCCTGCGACGTCACGTGACATCACGCAACGTATTGGGACAGTTTTGCCATTGCTGGCAATGGGGAGGGCATGGCTTCCACATGGTGCGTCCGGCCCAAGGGCCGACAGTTTGATACCCCTGCTATAACTCTACTGAACTTTTTTTTTTAAAGGTCCTTAAGTTTAGGTAAGCACTGCCACCCACTGTGATGGTTTTACACAGCCTTGCAATTACTTTGTATTCAAGAGTAGTAAATTGATACAATTTTTAAAAATACTATCCACCCTCTAGATTTTCTTTCTCTTTTTTTTTTTTTTACCTCAGCTGGGTTCACACAAAATTCTAACTAAAATTCTAGCCTTAGTTTTTAATCAATGTTTTGTGGTTTAGCATTGTATGCCAACCTGGCCACAAATCATGGCATAGTTCAATGCCTAAACCTAATGATTATAAACTAATTGGATTCAAATATTGTACTAAACCATTATAAACTACAGTTTATAAAATAAATTACAGCATAGTTATTTGGATTTGCAAAGCACTAACTCCACTTTACAAATCATAATGATAGGTTCCCTGAGCTCACATATACAATATGCTAATCCACCCAGAGTTTGTATGTTAGATTTATGACCATATCAGTTTTCTAGATAAATAAATCTTTCATGCACATCATCCATATTTCAGCACCTTCTTGTGATTTAACCAATCTTCTTAAGTACTCCATTCCCATTGCATTCAACTTGATTTAGATTTCTTGTGAATACAGGTAATCCTGGGTTAATAATCACTCATTCAGTGACTATTTGAAGTTATGCCACAGCATCTCTTTCAATGTATATTCACCATTGTGTGCCTGCCTCTCTTCTAATCCCTTTCTCTCCAATGAAAGCAAATATAAACATTAATTTCCTGCTTGCTAATTATTTCAGTGCTGGGAGTGGGGAAAAGAAAATCACAATCATGGTCATGTGATTTCCCATCGAGTGACTACTTTGCTTAATGCTAGAACTACTGGGCCGAATTGTGGTTGCTAACCAAAGGCTGTGTGTAGTTTCTGTATATCTCCATCAATATAATCTTTATTCTCTGTAACTGTCACATCACCCGTGGAATACACCATAGATATGATTTAAGTTAGTTAGCACACTTATTACGGAACATAGGTCAGCATAACTTATAAATGTTTACTGTATCTGTGGATTGGGGTGATTATTCAAATGTACATCGAATGTCCCAGATTTATTCACAATGCAATGTGTAGATTTGCAACTGCTCTGATCATTTTCTGTTCTTTATTTCCAGCTGAAGACAGCCTGAATATAAAACCCATTCTCTAATATTCTCAGGTAATAAAACATGAATTGAATTGTGTTGTTGCTCAGGGAAGAAGCTAATGTTTACAAATATTTCCCTGTGAAAGCCATTTTTTCTCTTTTGCATGTTTCCAGATTTAAGAATGAACATGCAATCAGTAAAAAACCCAGGAAGGTATTTCCATATATGAAATCCAAGGAGATAATCAGTTTTATGACCTAAGTCTGTTATTGCCACTTTCTTCATATCTCGAAACTGGAAACCTGTCTACAAAACATCGAGGAAATCACTGCCAATATTATCCTATGAAAGTTTATTCTGAAGTAATCCTCCCTAGAACATAGAGTTGGAAGAAACCTGGAAGTCTTCTAGTCCAGTCTCCTGCTCAAGGGAGAAATCCTATCATCCCAATCAAAGGCTGTCCAACTTTGGCTTGAAAACTTCCACAGACAGAGCATCCATGACTCCAGGAGGCAGGTCATTCCATAATTTAACACCAATGAAGGAGACTATTTGTAGTTCAGGGTTGAAATGAGGGGTCCTTGGTGCTCTCTGAACTTGCATGTTTTCTTGCAAACATTTCATTACCCTAACTAGGTAACATCATCAATGCTAGTAAGAAGTGCTGTTTGCTATCAGTTTATATTCTGATGTTTTGCCTGTCTGGGTGGGTGGGAGTGGTCTTAGAAATGTTTTGGTTGGGTTGCTTACTAATGGACCTCTGGAATTTCTAGAAGCCTGGCATTCTGACACATCAGCCATCAATAGACACATAGACATTAACAACATCTAAACCATGCAAAAGAGGCAATCAACCAGCCCAAAGGAGAAAAAGTCTCCAGCACTTCACCAGTAATCAGCACTAGATCAGCATAGATTAACTCCAGACCAACAATCAATACCCCAATCAAGAAACTGCAAAAGAGCCAATAGTAAACAGCCCAACCAAAGAATCCCTAAGACTGCCCCCAGACTCTGCTAAAGAGGGCTGTAAAGCACTGTGAAGTGGTATATAAGTCTAAGTGCTATTGCTGTTGTTCTTACAAGGATGCCTGAGGGTTTAGAAAAGCTATTTGTAACTCTTGCATCCTAATTTAGTCTATTTGTAACTCTTGCATCTAATCTAGTCTATTTTGAAGGGTTGACTGTGTATCTTTGCATCAATCTGGACTCCTGGTGACTACGTAGACAAATTCTTACACTTTTCTTGATACTGAAGGCCTAAGCTAAGGCAAAACTCATGATCTCCCAGTTTCTAGCCTATACAAAACTAGCTCTTAGTTTAGCACATTAACTAAAACGTAATATATATTACATCATTACTTTTAAAAATTAAGCTGCATCAGTTCTCAGGTTCACACACTCCAGTATTGTCCATCAAAATAGAAATTTGGAAGCTTTCCTTTTTCTTTTTCATTAACTACAGCTTGCTGAGTATGTCCAATCTGAAACCATAGTTACTCTTATGGAGACTTAATTTAAGGTTCAGTTCAAAATACGCTTCTTTGCAAACTTTAGGTGTGTTTAACTAGAATTTCTTGGCTTGAAAAAAGGGGAGAAAGGTTGAAATCTTTGTGTCTCAATAGTTCCCTCTTTTCTAAAAAGAAAAAAAGAAACCTTAAAAAAAAGATTTGCATTTGAAAACGAATAGCAATAACATTTGAGAAAAATGACTTACAGAAGCAAAACTTTTCTCCTTCCCTTCTTTTATCGGATTATATAATTGTAAGAAATTACAAGAAAAGGGTTAGATTAACAGAAAACCAGTGTGCCAACAAAAGTATACAGATAAGAATGTTTAAGTTCCATTAAAATCCATGGGACAAGGATGCCTCAATTAAGTATGACTAACTTGTCCAGAATTGGGAAACTTTATTGAAAAACTACTGTGAAGTAGCTGAAGAGCAATTAAATATTCTTGTATTATCCTTAAATATTCCTGTATTATTTTCTATATACGTTTACATTGTCAAAGAGGTAAGGCTCCGGACCATTTTAACCTGCTAGTTTCTTTGCTTCTGCCTGAATCAGTTTAATTGCTATCTCCTGGTGGTCCAAGATGGTTTTGGCTGAACTAATGAACAAATTCATCTACATGCAGAGCATGATTGAGCTCTGGAATTGATTCTCATAAGACATGGTTAAGCTTCTCACTTGGATGCCTTTTAAAGGAGATTGGATCCCTTAATAGAGAACAGATCTATCTAGGACAGTGGTTCTCAACCTGTGGGTCGGGACCCCATTTGGGGTCGAACGACCATTTCACGGGGGTCGCCAAACAAGGCTGTCTGCCATTTTTTCCCCTTTTCTTTGGCCACGCCCCTGGCACCCAGTGATGTATAAGTGGTTGGGGGTCACCATAACATGGGGAACTGTATTATGGGGTCGCGGCATTAGAAAGGTTGAGAACCACTGATCTAGGATTATTGGTCCTGAAGATGCAGTGTTACTCTTGTATTGGAGATACCTGTCCTTCAAATAGCAGCTGCAGGACACCCATGTCAGAAGAGAGCTATGTCTCCTACTTGTGAATTGTCCAGAGATGTCTGATCAACTGCTCTATAGGAAAAAAAAATACTGGACTAAGCCTTTGGGAAGATCCACCAGGCCTGGTATTTACTTTTATAGCCACATGAAACCTCTGCAAGTAATCCTGGAGTCATCTCTGTTCTAAAGAACATCCTGCTTACTTGATTCATTCCCCTTTCTTTGGTATTAGATTTACGTCCTAGATTAGATTCTAGATCTCAGAGTACTGTATTATTTTAAATGGTCAAACTTTTGCCATTTGATAGTCAAAGATGCTTCTTATTTAGAACACTTCAGTCATACATTAAAATATGCCTTTGTTAAATGAATGTATATTAAGTGTTTGATATTAATATTACATGGATGGAATTGGATGGCCTATAAATCTAATAAGCAAAGATTAACATTTAATGTTCTATGTGTTTTAAAATCTAGAGGTTTACAAGCATTAGCTGATGTGATTGGCTAGAAAAACTGTTCTTCAGCTTTCTTAACCTGACTTCAAGAGAATCTGAAGGATATCAAATTTAGCTTGGTGGTAGTCATCATATAGAAAATTGAAATAAAGGAGCAAAAATTATAAAAGCTCTAGCTGTTATAAAATGCTTGTGATTAACCCATTATTCTTCTGATTAAAATTTCCAGAACCAGAATCCATTGGACTATGAACAAAGAAAAGCATAGGAACAACAATCTTCTGTAAACCTGTCATTTTTCCAACAGTAGAAAATCATTACAAAAATGCTAATTGATTGAAGGAAAAAAAATGGAAATTAACAATGTACCCTCTGACAGCTTTATTCCAAGCAGAACCCAAAGTGTCTCTGGTCTTTTTATTTATGATGGTGTTGAAGAGTGTTGGAATTCTATTGAAGGCAAGGAAGATGGATTTGACAGCTCAGAAGTGGATTCCACGCTACCAAGTCAGATTTCTGAGTGCATGGGCAGCTGTTGCTTTAATGCTAAAGACTTAACTGCTTGTCAAACAACTGAATACGCCAAGACATGTGAAAAGGGTAACCTCAGCAAAGTTTTGAAAGAAGACACACTGTCTGAGAGTCACACCAGGATTCCTCTAGAAGATAAGTTCTACTTATCGGAGAATTCCACTAATATTGTGAATAGGGGCACTGAGCCTCACCTGGATGGAAACTTTATTGAGGTCACAAGGGGTTTTCAGAATGATTTCCTTGAAGATACTGAATGTTCTAATGTGATGACAGAGGAGATGTATGAGGACTGGGAAGCAAAGCTGAAGTTTCTGTTGGAAAGTGATGACGAGGAGGGTGAACTAATTCCGAGTACTGATTGTGATGGGTGCTCTTACTTCCTCAGTGAAATGCCTCGCCTGTTTCAAGTATCAGATAACACCATGCCTATGGAGACCACCATTGGCTTCAGTAGACATCAGTCAAAATCCAAAGAGGTAGCTGTCCGGAGCAACTTGACGGCATACAGACCATCAACTTTGCAAACACGAATGACTCTTACCATTGGACAACAGCAGAGTAAGAATCTCAGTATGAAAAACAAAGAAAAGCAGAAACAACCGGTGATCAAAAATAATTACTCCACAACAGAAGAAGAAAATCGTAGCAACAGTTGCTCAAGTTGTCATGTTTCTGCTCTCAGATCACAAGGCATAGAAAATGGAACTTCAACCATGAAATCACCTTCAAGACACTTAGATGTTTCTTCAGGAACAGCAGGCAAACAAGATATAGCAGAATGCAAAAACTTCTCAGGGGAAATCAAATCTCAACGAGTAATGCAGATGGGAAAGAAAACGATGCGAGGGAAGTCCAGTCTGCCCCATTCTTTAGAAGATCCTTTAAAAGTGCTACCTCCCAAACCGCTTCACAACTCCAAACCTCATACAGTTCAGATGGAAATAAATCATCTGAGTTCACCCATACCGCTTCACAGACAAGGAAAGACCACCCCGGACTTAACCAATGTTGCAAACCAAGACGCTTTATTTCATGGTCAAAGAAGCAAACAAAGGGACCGATTGGTAGGCAAATGGATTACTGGTCTGTCAGAAGGAAGCCAAGCAGCAGAGGAAAATGCTATGCTGAAGGTAAGAAAATGTTTATTTCTGTAGCATATCTATGGGAAGATGCAACTGCAATGACTTTAATGTACTTGATTCCAACATGTCCTGAAAGAATGCAAGCCATTCAATCTGCTGATTGACAACTACTGCTGTTGAGGAAATCTGGTTTTGAAAAATGGCCCTGATAAACCATAGCTGCTATCCTAATTATAGAAAGAGGGCAGGAGGGGTTGATCCTGATAATAGCAAATGGTACTAACGGGACCAGTAGACAGCTGGAAAGAGAAATCTGATATTGAATCTATTCAGTGTCCTTTATTGAAGCGGTGGCTTTTTCCTACAGGGCAGTTTCTCAACTGTGGACAAAATGAACTCCTTATTGCTTTGGAATTAGGAAGAGTTTAGAAAAAGAGGTTGCTTGCAATTCTTGAATTATCTGGATTATATATTCTACTTATTTCTCAAGAATATTGATTCTCAGAACTATGATTTCTCATTCCTAAATTTCCTGTTCCTTAACAATCCTAAATGACTTAGCTAAGCTATAACCTACTAGGCTACTGATCTATCTTACTGCCCTGTAGAGAAAGGTGTTATTGCAATGTAACAATGAAAGAAATAAGTTAAATAGGAGCTGGGTCCAGCAATAATTTTCTACATGTATGTTGTATGTTTTTGCAAGCTCAGCAGGGAAAAACTGAAAAATGTCCTCTTCAACTTCATTCATGCTGTTTTTATAAAATGCAGAGATGGAAAATGAAAGAGAAATTGTACAGAATAGGAACAAGATAATACTGGGAAGATGTGTGGAGAGTGGTAGTGGTGAAAGCTTTCATCTTCTCTTTCTATCTGGTGGCACATATTTCTCTACCAGTTTTCCGCTCTGTGAATCTCACATTTGGATCATCCAAAGTGCCAGGTCTGCTTCAACTTAGCAAACTTTACTTTCTACATTCCTTGCTACTCTTTCTTTTATGGTGATGGGAAGTGAGAACCATGAGAATTAAGTCTGCCATGAAATTATAATTGATCTGGACATTTTTGACATTGGATCTTGTGTACACTTTGAGATGTGGTGATTGAAGCTAATAAGAAAGGACTTTAGAAATCATTATTATTATACACAACAATGTAAAATCACAACTGTTGGTTATTTAGTTCAGGGCTTTTCAATCTTTTCACCCATTGTACCACTTTTAGGATATGGCAACATCCGAGTACCACCAGTCGCCTAGCTAGGTGTCAAAAACTTGATGACCCCCCAAAAAAGAAAGAAAAAAATGATAAAGTACAGATAGTCCTTGACTTACAATAGTTCACTCAGTAACTGTTTGAAGTTGCCATGGCACTGAAAAAAGTGCCCCCCAAGCCACACCCGAGCAAGACACCTGCCTGCCCGCTCACTGGCGCTCTTCCTCCTATCTGAGGTTTTCATTGTTGTGAGCATTGTTGTTGGAGATTGGCAGCAGGGATGGGATGGGGGGGTTGGTTTTTATTCCCCCTGTCTACTGGGTGGTTGCAGCAGATTTTGGTCACTTCACATGACCCTGGGACACTGTGACCATCATAAATATGAATCAGTTGCCAAGCATCTAAATGTAAATCATACGACCTGGAGATGCTACAACATTCCAGCTGATTGATGCTTCTTCAGGGCTCAGCAGAAGTGCCAGGATCAGTGCCAAGCTCCAGCTGGAGCCTGGCGCTGATCCTGGCGCTTCCACTGAGCCCTGACAGCCCTGCAGCTCTCTCACTCAGGTTGTGCAGTGCTGCCACCAGTTCAGCTCATTCCCCTTCCCCATTACCACTTTTCTAGGATGGTCGCGTACCACCTGCCAGGTGCCAATGTACCATAGATGGTACCTGTACCACTGGTTGAAAAGCCCTGCTTTAGTTAGTGTTGACCTTCATTTGCATTGACTTCTTCCCAAGAAACTAGGATGTCATAGTGCAGTGATAGCGAACCTTTAAGAGACTGAGTGCCCAAACTGCAACCCAAAACCCACTTATGCATCGTCGAGTGCCAGGTGGCTGGGTTTGGCCAATTGGGTGGGCCTGGGTGCAGTGGTAACGGCAGACTGGGTGGGACTAAAAAGTTCAATCAATCAATTCCAACTTTGCAAGATCTTTTTTTTCCCGCAATAAGTTGAAATTGACTGATTGAACCTTTTTTTTTTTTTTTTGCACATGGCAGCAGAGGCCTAAAGCGAAAAGGTTTTATAAAACCCAGCTGAAGGCCTAGGATTGGGGCGATGGTGCACGTGTCCACAGAGAGAGCTCTGAGTGCCGCCTCTGGCACCTGTGCCATAGGTTTGTCACCATTGTCATAGTGTATTAGTGTAGTATATATGAAGATCCACATACATTACACCATATATTACTAGGACCACCACTGTCGGTTTGTACCATAATATTTCAATTTTAATTTTCCGATCTTGATAATTTGTGATCTTCTCAAATTCTTTCTCTTCTGTTCTACGGTATTATCCCCTGGTACTGCCACTTCAAGTATCCACACTTTCTTCTTTACCCATTTGTATTTGGAAATCCCACAAAATTTTAACCTGCTCATTTTCAACTACTTTTTCAACAGTAAATTCTAACCGATTTTTCATTGCTAGCACATGCTAATTTTTAGAGATGTTTCGAAACTCATTTTTGTGACTGTGTTATGCTGTTGTTTATAATCAGTTTGTATGATCTTCCCGCATGAGCTCAATATTTGATCTACCGTTTCTTCTGCTTCTTTCTACAATTTGCACTTTGATTCATTTGGTGATTTTTCAGTTCTGGTCCTGATTACATTAGTTCAAATAGCTTGCTATTGAACAGGCAAAATTAAACCTTCAATTTCTTTTTTTAATATTCCAGTTTTAAGCTATTGTCAGGTTTTATTTTTATCCGCTTCCTCCTTGATCTTTTGTAGAACTTGACCGTGTAAAACTTTTCCTTGCCAGCATTCTGTTTGTATTTTTATTACATTATTTTGATATTTATGTTTCGTTACCTGTACCTTCAGTAAGTTCTAATTTTTAGCTTTAACTTCAGTACTTGTTCTTGACTGTTTTTTACATAATCAGTCAACGCATCCTTTTCTTCTTTGACAGTTTGTTGACTTGAGGTTAGCCTCTGCCTCTGTTGTTTTATAATTATGATGATAGGTAATACCGAGTTGATAGGCAGATGTTTGACGGTGTTAAAGATATCATCAGAGGATACAAAGTGTTCCAAGCAAAGCTACCTTTTGTTAAAAGGCAGTGAACATACGTAATACTCCTGTTTCTTATTTTTTCCATCACAACAACTGTGAAGTGAGCTTGGCTGAGAAAGGGATTGACCCAAAGTCATCAGTCAGCTTTCATGCCTAAAACAGAACTAGAACCTATAGTCTCCTGGTTTCTAGACTAGTACCTTAACCACCACATCAAACTGGTTCTCTTTTTAAATTTAAATTAAATTTTAAAAAATACATTTTCTCTTTAAGTGTCTTTAGGTCAGTGTTTCTCAACCTTGACAATTTTAAGGCATGTGGACTTCAACTCCCAGAATTCCACAGCCAGCAATGCTGGCTGTGGAATTCTGGGAGTTGAAGTCCACATGCCTTAAAATTGTCAAGGTTGAGAAACACTGCTTTAGGTGTATGTGTACCGTATTTTCCAGCGTATAAGGCGACCCGGAGTATAAGACGACCCCCGACTTTGGCACCGATTTCCATGCCTAGAAAGTCATCTTATATGCCGGAAACTACCGTAATTTCCAGCGTATAAGACGACTCGGCATATAAGACGACCCCTGACTTCGGCACCAATTTCCGTGCTTTAGAAAGTCATCTTATACGCCGGAAAATGCGGTATATGTCTTGTTGTATTGCCTGAATAAATGACACTCCTATAGTGTCATTTCAGTAACTAACACTGAAAAAATTAAAACTGAATAAATAAAGTTAACTTCTACTGAAAAAAAAAAAACAAGCTGAACTTTTAGTTTTCTTGATATGTTCTATCTCCATATTTTACATGCTTAGGTATGGGTGAAATTTTCAGGTTAAGTCCTGATGACTTCATGGTTAGCTTCCCAGCATGCAGAAGTGATTTCTGTTGTCTACTTCTATTCCCAACCTAGCCTACATTCCTGGTATTCCCTGATGGTTTCCCATCCAGTGTGACCCAAGTTTCACTTTTGAACCTAGATAAGGTCAACCGGATGCTGCCACTTTCTGCAGCTCTTCAGATTTAAGCACATGCTTAAATAACAATGGCATATTTGTTGTTAACCATTGTTAATCCTACGTTAAAATCCAGAAGTATGAAATAAGCTATCCAATGCTCAACCGTTTCCCTCTATTTCTAAAAACAGAAATGTTTTGGACTATTTAAAAGCACATCAGTTGCTCACGGGTCCTAGAAGCCAAGTCACTGGATAGTCATTTTGAAAACAGCATGCTTCAGAATCACAACATATTTCCATTGCCCAGAGAGTGAGTGGAAAGCAGAGAAACTCTTCCACGTAACTGGTTCAGAGTCATACTGGTGACAGGCCTACCATGACAAATTGTCATTTCTTCAGCTTGCCAAAAGGTCAGTGGTGTCAATGAAGGGTTGATGCAATCTGCCAGCAGGCAGAGTTTCAAGGCAGAAGAACAAGAAAACAACTTTATGTACCATAATGGAAACTTTTTAGTTCTCTTCCATTGCCTGGGTTCAGAGAGTTTGCCTACATATGAGATTGTCTGTCTTCAAAAAGCAAAGGACCACAACAATGTGAGGTTTTCAATAAACTATCTCCAGCAGAGTCTCATTGTAAAGCTGCAAACAGACAAAAAAATAAATAAATAAAAATCCAAGAATGATCAATGAATTGCAAGCAGCTTCATCTTCCCTCCAGCTTTGATCCTGAAATGACATCATTTAGATCACTCTAAATCCAAAACTTATCTCTTGTTCTGTATATATATTTGTCTTGGAAAAACATGCCAGTGCTTTACTTAAAAAGCAGGTGTCGCTTTTATTTTAGTAACAACTGAT